TCCGTCGCAGCCGAGCGCCCCCCAGCCACATCGACCTGATCAGTGTTTGATTGTTGTGTCTTGTTGCTTTCCTTCTTTTCTCGCTCCTCTATCCACTCACCCCAACCGGTCGAGGCAGAAGTCCGCCCACCAAGAGCCGGGGTCTGTTGGAGGTTTCTTCCGTTAAAGGGAGTTTTTCCTCCCCACTGTTGCAAAGTGCTTGCTCAAGGGGGATTTGTTGGGTTTTCCCTATGTAATAACAGTGATAACAGTAAGGTCTAGACCTTACTGACTAACAGACTTTTGTTGTGATTTGGCACTATACAAATAAAATTTGATTTGATCTCACATAGGAGCAACGATAGTATTTTCCCCAGAGCCCTGAATATTTAATCACCACAAGCCCTTCAACACATACAGATCAACAAGCAGCCGAGGGGCAGGACCCTTAAATAAGCATGTGTGGCAACACACACAAACTTGGGTCTTACATACAAACCATTCAATAGACTCAAGCAGAGTCACAGAGAAGAAAATACATAGTCTTATTTCCATGGGATGACTTCTGTAGAGAAACTCCTCCAGTGCTGTGCTTACTGGACACCACGACCTGTTGCATGACTAATGTGCTGCTGAGCCAAGTTGTTCCAAGGTCTCTGAGGACATGTACTGGATTCTACCTTGCCAGGCGGATGTTGAAGGTGAAATCAAGACAAGAAGAACAGCTTGTTCTCTTAAACCCCCAGCAGTGTGATGAGGCGATTCAAAACCAAGAATAGAAACTTGGGTAAAAAGACATGGGCAGACTAACAGAATCAGATTTGGACATAACAGTGAACAGAGAGACAGAGAGAGAGAGAGAGAGAGAGAGAGACAGAGAGAGAGAGAGAGAGAGAGAGGGGGCCCCGGAATTGGGTAAAAAGACATGGGCAGACTAACAGAATCAGATTTGGACATAACAGTGAACAGAGAGACAGAGAGAGAGAGAGAGAGAGAGAGAGACAGAGACAGAGAGAGAGAGAGAGAGAGGGTCCTGGAAAACAGATGGACGAACGTGTCCGTAAAAGGAACAGAACTACTGCGTATGTGTGTGTGGGCATTTAGCCTGGCAGTGCGATGAGCATCGAGGAGAAAGAGTGGAGGGCCGAGGGAGTAACATGAAGCTGGTGTGGGGCTCGGATTACTGGGCCGTCTCTATTTCCAGTGCTGCAGTCGTGTGATTCACACTGTGCGACAGCTGGGCCCGCAGCTGCCCCATATATGTAGAGGAGAGCCACAGCTGTGAAGCTGCCAGGAGCGTAGGAGCCAAGCTCATCCCTCATATACGTAACCAGGACTGTCTGCCTGCCGGGGCCCCAGCCACAAACTAATGCGGTTACACTGCCCCAGAGGATCAAAGATAAGGAGAGGAGGAGGATAAAAGTACAAACACTCGCTGCTGTTGTGGAGCTCTACTCTGTATACTGCACTTTTTTTTGGCTCACCAAGATCTGCTCTGGCAGCCATTAATATTCCAAATTCATAAGTCCAGATCAGTTTCAGTGTCTAGATTAAACCTGTTCACATAGTCCTTAACAGCCAATTCCAACAGCCACTAATGGTTTTCCTTTTGTACCTACTTTATAAAAGTGACAAAGTGAATTTGTCCCATTGCTTACTCCAGACAAACTGGCCAGGCTGTTGCAGATTAGGTCTCTTTTCTCTTTTTTTACCCCCCAGCCTCATCTGCTCAGGGTGGAATACTCCCAGACGTTACAGCATTCCTGTGCAGCGCACACACACACACACAACACACAACAAGGTCATTGTTGACTGCAGAACAACCTGTAACACTGCCTGGGCCGCACTCCATAGAGACTCTTGCCAATGACCCCATTGCCATGGTGACGCCCCCTGATGTCTCCCTGCTCTGCTAAGCCGAGGCTGGAGCTGTCAGACTGTGGCTCTTTGTGGAGGAGCAAAAAGAGCTCAGGACTGACAGGTAGAGCACTTTAAGGTATTCAACCAAAACGGTTTATAGAAGTACAGAAAAAGCTTTTTTTCCTCAGGTGTGAGGAGGTAAATATTCAGATGTTAGACCAGTCCAGCTTTGTCTTCATACCCTGATGTTCATAGTTAGAGAGAAGTTTAGAACAGGTATGTGTTCTGCTGAGTTATCCTAAAGCACTGTGCTCACAGTGGCTCTAGCTCTACCCAGGACAGGTGAGGCATCCCGGGCAGCGGTGGGGGCTGTAGCTCCTCTGGTGCCTCACAACAGCTGTAGCTAATGTGGGGCGGAAGCTCACGTTTCCTGAGGCCAGGCCAGCCAATCAGCCCTCCTCCTGCCCCAACCAGCAAATTCCAAATGGAGGCTAAAAACAATGATACGACAACTGTGTCAACACGGACACCCTTCTCCCGGAAAACATTTTTACAGCATCAGGCAAGGGGCTAGTGCAAACAATCAAGTGCTTAAAACACACACCGCCTGCACCCACAACAAAATATCAGGTTACACAGCCCACTCCAACACTTGTCATACCTGCACGCAACATGGAGTAGCCACAACCCTCCACATGCAGCAAATATGAAAGCAGGCTGCCCTGTCCTGGGCACATGGTGCACTCATTTAACTTGACTTCAGATGGAGATTAGAAAGGCATTCTGGGACAGCTGCCTTCCTTACACATGCTTCTCATCCAAGTAAGGTCAAACAGCACACACTATATTTCTGTTTGGAATCTACTCATGTCACACATGACAGGCCTTATATCATTATAGGGCTCCACATATCTACTCCAATCAAAAGGATCTCTCTCTCTCTCTCTCTCTCTCTCACACACACACACACTGTATCCAATAAAAGAACAACAATAAAAGAATTTAAAAAAACCATGCTATGATGTTCACAGTTGCCAGATCTTCACCACACTGAACATCTATGTGATCTTTAGGCCTGTTAAGACTGTGCTCACCACCACAACCGTCAAAAATGAGGTTTGCAGTAGCATTCGAGTAACACTGAAGATATTTTGCTGTCTCATGGCATCCAAGACACTTCGGTTGTTGATTTTTCTTTTATCACTGATCTGTTGGTGGTATAGCTAAAGAAACCTGCTGCGATAAAGGAAGGCATCGTTATATCAGGCAGAGAAAGAACCACTTTTGCGATTACCTCAGGTGCTAGATACTCTGGTGTCCCACAGAAAGTTTTCATGGTGGCGCCATCTTTGATCCCCTCTTTACACAGACCAAAATCGGTGATTTTTATGTGTCCGTCTTTGTCCAGCATAAGGTTTTCCAGCTGAGAAGGAAACAAAGAAGATGCACGTTACCATCATTGTTAAATGACTCACTGTTCAGGGGAGTTAAAAAACAGTTTTCATTCATAAATGTATGAAGATAAAAGCTTCAGTTTTTATCAAATAGTTTAAACGAGATTTCTGAAACTTAGCTTCTGAAATCTCAGAATTGGTGCCTCTCAATCTCAAGTAGCAGCAACTTTGATGGCGGTCGTTTACAGCTTCCCACAGTAATTAATATCTGTGTTACTCTGGTCGTTTTAAATAAATGAATTGCCCTTTTAATCTATCAGCTGCTATGGTGTAAAGGAGGAGGTGAAAAAGGGCCTGGTATGTGGAATTAAACCATACTGTAAATGCTGCAGTTATTCAACACTCAAAATGTCAGTCCCTTTTTCTTTATTATCCAGGCTTTCCAACAGAGTGAAAGCATATAGCATGCAGTGGAATGATGACGTGAATGCCTTTTCTAAAGTAGAATAACCTGATCTGTTAGAATAACAGACATTTATTTCATTTTCTTTTTTGAAATATGCCAACTTTTCCACCTCAAACCAGAAATAAAAACTTTTTTGCAATACAATGTTATTTTAATTTGTGGCATTTCCACTCAGTTTTATGCACACAGTAAAGAGTATAAACACCAATGGAATCATACCTTGTAATAAAAAAAAAAACAAAAAAAAAAAACAGTATTCTAACAGCTTTAAGATGTTCACCATAACGTGACATGACTTGAAGTTGTATTGCCTTTTAAGAGCTGCATCTCCTCCCTCCCTCTCTGTCTTTCTCTCTCAGTTAAAGTCACCTGGCAGCTGTGGCTCACACGTGGCCAGCAGCACCCGGCTAGAGTCAGCACATCCTCCAATCCTGCTGCCCTGGCATTTTCAGGAGAATCCTAGCAGGCTGGAAGCCTGCCTCTTAAACCCAGGGGAGAGTGCTGTGCTGACCTGGCTGGTATAGTCTTATCAGCTGGAAGCAGTCAGACTACAGATGCCCACTGCAACACAGATAACCCCATATTGCCCTCCTTAACCCAAACATGCCCCATCAGTCTGGAGCATCCATCAGTGATTTCATCTGTAGAGTATTAGAGGTTTGTTCTGCTATTTGAACTCAAATATCAGAAAAATATTCAACGTCATGCATAATCTGGAGAGCCAGGGGAGAGAAAGTGGTATCTGGTTACAAACAGAAGTATTAACACACCCATACTCCAACTACCCAGGACACACAGTCCCACTGACAACACCACAGAAGCATTTAAGACACTATTTCACACATATCAGAAGAATAAGCAACTGTAACCTTGCAGTGGCTTTTTTTCTCGGATGATAATGGATATTTTCTCTCTGCTGACTACTAGTGTTGTACTGTCTGCATTTAAATGATGTCAATCACACAGACCATGGACAGATATTAACCACTGAGAACACTGTATGCATGCTGTAATTAGGCAAGCTGCTCTTTGAGGACTGGTGGTGTATAGACTGAGCCTTCCTGCAGCTGCAGGTAGGTTTAAAGACTGATCTTGGGTGCGGCGGGAAGAGCAGTTGTCTCCCAATCGGAAGGTTGACGGTTCAAATCTCAGTGCCTGCAGTCCAAATGTCAAAAGTGTCCTCGGGCAAGACATTGACCCCCCCCCCCGTTGCCTGTGAGGGCGGCGCGCAGCGGCCCAGGGCCCTCAGCTCCAAACATAATTTCGTTGTACGTGTCACAATGTTACAATGACAATAAATAAAGCTTCTTCTTCATATTAATAAGTCTGGGCCACTGCCATTGCTCTGCATGAAGACAAACATTTTTTGTATCCTTCCCTGGGAGAAAGGTCATAAAGAGGATGAGACAAAGTAAAGACATGTCCTACCTTTAGATCTCGATAGACTACGTTTCTTTCAGCGTGCAGGTAGTCCAGCGCTGACACTATCTCTGCACCGTAGAACCGAGCCCGCTCCTCCGAGAACACCCGATCCCTTGACAGATGGAAGAAAAGCTGAGGGGAAACGGGAGAATGATAACAAGGAGACAGAGGACAAATGAGGAAAGAGTTAGTTAGTCCAGTGTGAATAGGAACAGTAAAATTATTCAAGGTCAGTAGTATTGTGTCTTGCGATTCCCTAAGACCTACAGGTGCACATTTATTAATGGGTAAAATGGCTTACCTCACCACCGTTTGCATACTCCATGACAAAGCACAGGCGGTCATGTGTCTGGAAGGAGTATTTCAGTCCCTGCACAAAGGAAAAAAAGAAAGAAAAAAAAGTTCAACACAGAACTTGGTGATATTTTCAGCTAAATTAAGAGGAATCTGCCATTTAAACAGCTGATTGTAATATTAAACAACAGAACATGTTGTGACTTTGCACCTTTATCTACATTTTTCAAAACAAATATCTAATGAAAACTGGATTAGGAAGCCTAGAGTACAGTGAATCCAGTATGCTGAGGCTTTTTCCACTGATGTGTGGCAAACATTAGTCCTACTAGGTGCGATGAGCACATCAATCACCACTTTGAGCTAACAATTTGGTGAAGCCTTTCAACACAATCCACCTCAGTCTTAGAGAGAAAGGGTTAACTGTTGAAGAAAACAAAAGGACACCCAGTGCTGCTGTGAAAGACCCAGCTCAACTACAGCTCTTCAACACAGTCCTGGTAAAAATACTTTTTTTTTTAAATGGGTGCTGGTGGGTTGGATTGAAGAGGCTTGCAAGGAGTTAAAATAAGGTTTGGTTTAGATATATTGAGGGGCTCCTTACCGTCAAGAATGGATGCTTTGAATTCTGGAGGACTCTGTTTTCTGTGAGTGTATGAGCCACTTCATCCTGAAAAAAGACACAAATAGTGTTGGTGCAGCTCTTACAATGGCTAACAACCAGGTATTAGTCATTACCCCACTGATCCCCCTCCCCTTTACTTGCTGATTGGCATCCACTCACTTTTGCTACGATCACCTCCTTCTTCAGGATCTTCATGGCGTAATAGCGTCCTGTGGCCTTCTCCTTTACTAGAATAACTTTGCCAAAAGTGCCCTTTCCCAGGAGTTTGAGGTATTCAAAGTCATGCATAGTCTGGAGAGCCAGAGGAGAGAAAGTGGCATCTAGTTACTACCCAGGACACACATTCCCACTGACAACAACACAGAAGCAGGACTAACAGGAGTTACAAGCTTCAGCAGCTGAGGTGCGAGAGACTCTGCATACAACTGTTGCCCGGGTTCTTCACCAGTCAAAGCTTTATGGGAGAGTGGCAAAGACAAAGCCACTGTTGAAGAAAACCCTTTTGAATCTTCACAAGAGTTCGCCAAAAGGCATGTGGGAGACTCCATGGTCAAGTGGAAGAAAGTTCTTTGGTCTGATGAGACCAAAATGGTGCTTTTTGGCCATCAGACAAGACAATATGTTTGGCGGACACCAAACACTGCACATCACCGCAAAAACGTCATTCCCACTGTGAAGCACAGTGGTGGCAGCATCATGTTGTGGGGATGTTTCTCAGCAGCCGGCCCTGAAGGCTTGTAAAGGTGGAGGGTAAAATGAATGTAGCAATATATAGGAAAATCCCTGTGCAACCTGGCAGATTTGGAGCAGTTTAGCAAAGAAGAATGGAGTAAAATTGCAGTGGCCAGATGTGCAAGCCTGACTGAGACCTATCCACACAGACTCAGTGCTGTGATTGTAGCCAAAGGTGCATCTACTAAACAGGGGGTGAATATTTATGCAATCACTTATTTCACATTACATATTTTTATTTGATTGACATTACTTTGTAGAAACCTTTTTTCACTTTGACATTAAAGAGGTTTTTTTGTAATTTTTTTTTGTCAAAAGAAAAACGAAATTATATTGACAATGAGTGTGCTGTCCCTGGTAGGCTTTCGCCACTGCGGCCCGGGTTCGAATCAGGGTTGCGTCAGGAAGGGCGTAAAACACGTGCCAAATGTCAACATACGTTTTGACGGTGTGACGATTCACTGTGGCGACCCCTAAAGCGGGAAAAAGCCAAAAGTGACTCTTATATTTACCATGATTGATTTATAAAACCAATAAAAGGGTAAAATATCCAAGGGGGTGAATACTTTTATAGGGACTGTAAATACAATATATACTTTTTCATACACATATGTGTACCCAAATATATACACATATCCTTAAAACAAAATTAAATGAAATTAACAAATCAGTAAATGATTAGAAAGAGGAAAGGGAAAAAAAGAAATAAAAGGGAGGGAAGTAGGTTATATTCTCATTGAATCTGGTTTGATTGATAGGTGTGACATACTCAAAACAGCATGGACAATGAAGACTAACAACAACAACAACAAAATAAAAGTACAGGGTGGGCCATGGAAAAGTAGTCTGGAGCCCTAAGTACCTATCTCCCAACACCGGTATTGGAGGCGGACTACTTTTCCATGGCCCACCCTGTAGCTTGTTATATTTCTAGGAGTTTGTGGGAATGTGCATGGCCTAGGCCTGGTATCTGGTTCAAGTTAAGAGAGGTTATAAATGGATTCCAAGTGTCAGTAAAAGGTAGGTAGGTAGGTACTTTATTGATCCCTCAATGGGGAAATTTCAGTGTTTCAGCAGCAATGGAGAACAGACATCATAACACCATGAGAACAAGCACCGCACACACACATCCTAATAAATTCCAAGTACTCAAAAACAGACAGAATCAAGTATTTGAATAATCAAGAACAGGATTTTACATATGCGCATATTAACCATGCATTTCACCCCAGGATTTGAGTATTGCACCTCAGCTGACTATTACATAGTCCCTCATACTTTCACCTAGCTTATCCCTGCAGTGATGTATTGTACAGTCTGATAGCTGTGTGGAGGAACGACCTACGGTAACGCTCCTTCTTACACTGGGGATGTAACAGTCTTGCACTAAAGGAACTGTTCAGAGCCTCTACTGTGTGGTGCAGGGGATGGGAGGGGTCATGTATGATGGTTGTTAGTTTTACCAGCATCCTTCTGTCCGCCACCTCCTCGATGGAATCTAGGGGGCAGCCCAGGACAGACCCAGCTCTCTTAACCAGTTTGTTGAGCCAGAGAGCACAGTGCTGTGTTTCTGGCTGCTGTGTATGTTAGCCCAAGAGCTGATCCCTCTGCGGCTCTCAGTAAACTCTATGATGTCATCAACGCGCTAGAGACAGTTCACCCCGATGCTGTATCTATCGCTGCAGGCGACTTTAACCAGCGCAATTTAAAGACTGTACTTCCCAAATATTACCAACATGTGAACATTCCCACTCGGGGCAAGAACACTCTGGATCATGTTTACAGTAACATACGTGGTGCATACAGGGCCGCACTCCGCCCCCACCTTGGACGCTCGGACCACATTTCTTTGTTCCTGTATCCAGCTTACAGACAAAGACTGAAACAAACAAACCCTGTCACCAAACAAATTAAACTCTGGACCCCAGAGACTGAAGGCACCCTGCAGGACTGTTTCGCCCAGACAGACTGGGATGTGTTTAAAGCTGCAGCCACCTCAGAGGACTTTTCTGTCAG